TTCTAGCGAAGGGCAATGGGATAGAATGTAGTCAACAACCCCATCAGTCACTTCCACTGCATTTAAATGGAGAACTGTTAAGGAATAAAGGTTGTAGTTGCAAATAGGGGTTGGCATCGGTTCGGTTCGGTTGGAATCGAACTTGAATTGACGGTTTTCATCGGTTGTTTGTTTTATTAAATAACAACCAAAAACCAAACCGATTAATATTTTGGTTATTCAATTCGGTTATTAAATTAATCGGTTCGGTTTTCATAATTTCAATTTTAACCGATTTTAACCTTAATCCCTTAGCTTTTTTTTTTTTTTTTTTGAGATTGGGCCTTACGATTTGTGACTCAACCCAAATATCAACCCAAATATCCAACATATGCTGTGATTCATTTCTTTTAATTTTATGATTTAAATATTTTAACCAAATATCCAAAATAACAAAGTTAATAAACTATTACACTTTATAAGTCAAAAAATTAGATAAAATCATTCGCCATCAAACTGCATCAAAGACTCAAAGGGATAAGCAAACATCCCAGAAACAATGGTGACATCTAAAAGCCCTTTGAATTGTCATTGGCCATTAATTGAGCATTGTATTACATCATTGCCAAGCCTGGTACGTGCATAATTCAAATGATATAGCAACAACAATGTAGTTGCCCTAGCAGCACTCCGTGAAGCCACATTTCCAGCAAACCACTTCACACAACCATCTTTCTTTTGAGCGTCTAAAATAGCTTTAGAAGTAACCTTTAAATGCAAACTTGAGAGCCTATGAAAATAGAACATCTACTAAGTAAAAAGTATACAATTATATAAAAGATAAGATGATATTTTACAATAATCATGCAATAGTGCAAGCAACAAAATGCCAATCATCACAATTCATGTTGAAATATCTTCATTTGTAAAAAACCCAAAAATAAAATATCTCTCAATTGTCAACAAGGAAAATAACATCAGAAACTCAACATTTCATAATGGTCCAAGAGCCTACAAAAAACCAAGATACTAAACAGAGGTTAATAAGTTATATCTAGGTCGTGACACAATAACCATAGCAAGTTCAAGGTGGCATAATTAGAAAGAACAATATGACAACACCTCAAATTATTCCATCGAATGAACATATTCTTTTTTAACACAGCACAAATGAATTGAGCAGGAGCTCATTGACAATTCACATATTAAGTCTAGATTTATCCATCAAATTAACAACTCATGGGCTTAATTGGGTACTCTCAAGGATTTTTTAATACTTGGCAAGCATTTGCAACTTGGCATAAGCAACTCATGGTTTCTGTCAAGTTAATAAAAGTTTTTCAAACTGCATAACATATCAACTACATTAAATAAGTAAAATCAATTGAAAAAAAAAAAAAA